ATATATAAACATGTTGATTATTTTGTGTCAGTTGTTGAGCAATTAACTCTCTCCCGTCCCGGCATCTGTGTTACTCTTATGTCATGATTTAGTCATGACTGCAGTTTAACACTGAGAAAAGTGACTTATCTCTTAAAGTTTCCAGTGTGCTTTTTTTTTTAAACCCATAATTCATATAAGCTCACACTTACAGATGCTGTTTCTTTGAAAAATTGTTGAAAAGTTGAAGCATATTTTGAACAATAAATCCCACTGCATAGTGTTTGAATGGAAATGTACATGCTTCATTTCAAACTCGAAATTATTGCATACATTCAAAAGTTTCCGGTTAGGTTTTTTTTTTTTTTTTTTTTTTGTAAAGAAATATACTTTCAGCAAGGACACATTCAATTGATCAACAGAAGGAGTAAAGACATTTATAATGTTTGTATGTCAAATAAATACAGTTCTTTTGGAGAAAACGTATTACGATTTTGTAGAAAATGTTTCTTAAACACCAAATCAGCATATTATTATGATTTCTGAAGTATCGTGTAATGTTGAAGACTGGAGTAAATTTTAAATTACATTTTAAATATACTGAAACAGAAATGGTTCTCTTAAATTCTAATAATATTTCACAATATTACTGTGTATTTTTACTGTATTGGGGATCAAATAAATGCAGCCTGGCTGAGCATAAGCGGATAAAGACTATAGAATACCCAAGACGTGTCACTTGTATAGTTTTGAATGAGGAAAAATGCAACGCTCAATATGGCCGCTCTATCGAACGAAGCCCCGCCTTCTGAGCAAAAGAGCCAATCACTAATCAGTAAAGTCAGCGTGTCACTGCAGCTGTCATTTGAAGTTCCGGTTACTATAGAAACAATCAGCGTTCTGAGACATGCGCCTAGGACTGTGCATGCGCACTGGCTGATCTAGCCTGAAAAATACGCTTTTTATAACGCCATTTGAGCAATATAAACAACATTTATGACACAGTTGTTGTCAGATTTCATTGGTGATTTCAAATATGAAATTTAATCATAAGCTTAGTGAAGAGTTTTAGCGAATTTGATGTTTCCCCAGTCAAAGAGATAGGAGTTGCACTTGCATGCCCGAGAGGCCTTTCAAAGATGGCCGCCGAGTGACATGACTAAAAACAAACATTTAAACGGTAGTGTAAGTAATGCATATAAAGGCCAATTCACACCGCACAGACAGACGTCAACAAACACGTTTATTGGGTTTTTTAGTTCAGTGTGTTACCCCTGTCAGTGTCTGTTGCAGTTGGTCAGAGTTTGTTTTTTACCCGACTGAACATGTTCAGTCAGCGTTTGTTGGTGTCTGTTGGGGCAGTGTGAACATGACCGTTATTTTTCATAAAATTCTGAATCCAACAGTCAACGTGTTTGTTGGCGTTTGTCTGTGTTCGGTGTGAATTGACCTAAAGTGTATTAACACTGAAATATGCAGTGAGGTGTAGTGTGTACGAATATCTGGATGTAGTTCTTAAACTAAAAATACAAAGTCAAATTATAAATACTTTTTAAACTCAGTCACAGCTTTCTTTAAGAAGAGGAGAGGCTAAACATTAATTTGGCACGTAATTATCGGCAACTGAAAAACATAAATTAAGTATTTCATAAAGTAGATGGTAGCATTATAATAGTGTATTAATACATAATTTGGGATGCAACTCTTGTCTTGTCTTTCCGTAGAGGCTGTGTTTCAGTTTGAGGCACTCCAGATTTTGTGTTTTTGTTCCGAGTATCTCAGTGGATTTGAACTTGTGTTGGATGTTTCCTTCTCCTGTTTTTTCACATAACTTATAAATATTTTACATCTTTGTTTTATTAATGGAAAGTCTTTTTTTTTAGGTTATCCTGATGGCATTTTATCCTCAAAAGCTAATTAACTCAAAGTGTGTGTGTGTGTGCGTGTGCGTGCACACACTGGTAGATAGTTCAGAAAATTGTCAAATCTTGGAAAGCCTTTAACCTTTTCCTTTGACTTTTGAATAAAACTCATCTGTTATTCACAGTTACTGATTGCAGATATGCTGTGATAGAACGTGGATTGGGTTTTTGGTAACTTAAAATCGAAATGGCACACACAATCCGTTCTCTCTGTCTGTTTTTGTTTAGTCTTAAGCTCATAGATGTTGAATATAATTTGACCCTCTAACAGCAAACATTTTTCAGTTTGTAATTCTCATTTTATTATCTGTAAATTCAGTTGATGTCCATTATAGCAAAATTTGGTAGTTTTGTATGTTGTCTGAGGTCCTCTGGGGGTTCCATCCTCTCTGAATTAAACAGTACATTTTGTTGCTGAGCCTTAAAGAAAATTTTATTACTCATATGACCCTTTTACCTCATCCATAATGTTTTCCCCATTTTCTGTGGTTCTTTATTTGTTCATAGGTATGATAACAAAAGCAGTGCTTAGGTCAAGCGAGGAAGAGAAAAAGGAAGAAGAGGTGAAGAAAACACTAGAACAGCATGACAGCATTGTAACCCAGTACAAAGAGTTGATTCGAGAACAGGTAAAACTACATCAAACTATATTCCATTCTCACATTTATGTCTGTGCAAGGTTTCAAAGTAGTCCTATTGATATTTTAATGCATGTAGTATATTCAATTATTTTGGGTTATTCATGAAGCAACAATAATTTGCACACCTCATCAGTCTATTTTATATGAAAATCATAAGCTCTGTTGAAAAAATCTATTATTTCCCAGCTTGTAAAAAAGTAATGTTGCACATAATTGTCTCTCCTTTTTATAAGATGTTGTTTATTGAATATTTGATTATTATCTGTACCTGTCATAAAGCTGAAATGCCAATACACTTAAACTCAAATTATTATTTATGTTGTGATACAGCCAGTGCACCTTGAGCAACTTTTGTGAAATGACCCCTTCAAATATGATATTCAAAAGTGTGCATATGTGACCAAGAAGAATTGACGAACAGATAATTATTTTCTATATTTATTTCGAGCTCTGATTGCTGCCATAGGTAGCCCTGCTGGATCTTAATCCAGAGAAGTGAATCCTTATGTATTTGGCTTGGAATATGGCTAATATGATTATAGTATTATAGGGCTATAATTGTCATAAGGATGACTAAACATATGCAACTTATGACCGCAGAAAAGTGGGTTACCCCTGCTTAAACACTGGTTTCTCTTTCCTCTGTAGGGTTTTAGAAGGAAAAATAGGCATATGTTTAAATTACACATTCATTTTCCATTTCTCCTCTGTTCATCTCCGTTTAATTGCAGGATTCTCAAATAAATGAGCTGAAGGAGCAAGTAACATCGCAGAGTTCCCAGAATGAAAAGTTGCAGAACACCATAACACAGCAGTTCTCGCAGATCCAGCAGCACAAGGATCAGTATAACATCCTCAAACTCAAACTAGGTACTGAGCAAATATCAGATCTATATCAGTAGTATTTGCAATATTTTAGTAGAAGTTACTGTTACAATTGGTCTACTCTTTCTTCACATTCTGTAGGTAAAGATAATCAGCAGACAGGTAATCAGGCAGAGGCAGCACATGTGAACGGCGTGCAACCAGAGGAGCTGAGCCAACTCCGAGAACAACTTGAGGAACTGCAAAGACAAAACCAACTGCTGCAGACACAGCTGACTGAAAAGGACTCTCTAATAACCAGCCTGGTATGAGTGTGTTCGAAAATTCTAAATTGAAATGTATTTTCTATTGGTATTCTAATATCTTAGACTTTTACAGTAGCATTTACGATATCATTCAAACGTTCGGGATCATTATGTTGTTGCAGTGAATTTCTTATGCTCACCAAGGCTGCATTTATTTGATCAAAAATACAGTAAAACAGTAATATTTTGAAAGAATTGTTAACGGTTTAAAATAATTTTAGTATACATTAAAATTGTATTTATTCATGCTATGGAAAAGATGAATTTTCTGCAGCCATTACTCAAATCTTCAGTGTCACATGATCCTTCAGAAATGATTCTGATATACTGATTTGGTGCCCAAGAAACATTTACTATTACAATGTTGAAAAAAAGTTGTCCTGCTTGATATTTTTGTTGTAACTGTTTAATGTTTTTGAATGTTTTTGTGTGTGATACTTGTGTGAGAAAAATCATACTGACCCAAAACTTTTGAACTGTAGTGGTGTATTTGGAAATATTTGGTTTGTGCCCAACAGAAAGCTGAGGGAGTACCATCAGCAGAGGGTTCAACTTCAGAGGTCACAGAATTACAAAAGGTAAAATTCCAACCTTTCTCTTCAATATATTTCATACAAAATACTAATATTATAGACAAAACACTTGAAAATAAAAAAATTTATGTTTGATTGCAGGAGGTTGAGTTGCTGAAAGCACAGCTGCAGAGCCAGACCGCAGAGATCACACAACTACAGAGTGAAAGACAGGAGCTACTCAGAGGATCTGAGACCACAGTAAGCGTGTTCCAATAATTGTACAGACAGTACACTCCACCACACTGCAGTCTCAGCTTCAGATAGCATTCCAACAGACCACCTATATTTCAATCTCAAAATCGTAAAATCCAGTCTAAAGGAGTCATCATGGGCAGGCTTTTTTTCAAATCGCTTCCCAAATTATGAAAATTTATTTTCTAAATAATAATTAACAAAATAAAATTGGCAACTGTGAGAGCAGTGCAGCACCCAGACAGTTTAAAGAGGGGACACCTCAGGCCATGAGCAGCAGTCGGGTACATAGGGATGTGCGATATGAATCATCTACAAACATATCATAAATGTGTCACTCACTTTGCAAAAAAACAAGCCTTGAGAGGGCATGGTTTCACTGCGTGGATTAGCCTGTTAGAATGCCAGTGAAAATAGTTTCAAACAAAGCCACAGCATAAACATTGTGCATCTCTGAGCAACACACAGTAGTGTTTTGTTATTGAATGAGTCTGTGTTTTTAATGAATCATTTGAGTGAGTTATTCAATTATCCATTCATAAAGACAGTGATTTGCTTCATTTCTGAATGAATCATATGCTTTGAACAGATTTGTTTGAATTATTCAATGATTCATTTACTCATTAAGACAAGAACTTACCACCATCTACTAATTGTTTTGGTTTCATATTTAAAGTTTTATTAAAATATTACTTTAAGTAACTCCTGAAATTTCAAGCAAGTATGATACTAAATTGAAATTTGATTCAAAATGGGGAAACAAATCTCACAGTGAGTCCACCAGAAAAACTAAATTGTAATCCTACAATACACAAACATTTTCAAATTGCACTAAATTTTGTGTTTTAAGGTACTTTTAAAATATAATTTATTTCTGTGATGGCATATCTAAATTTTAGCATCGTTACTCCAGTCTTCAGTGTCACATGATCCTTCAGAAATCATTCTAATAAGCTTGATTTGATGCTCAAGAAACATTTCTTATTAGTAATATTAAAAACAGATTTGTTTTCAGGATTATCATAGATTTGGTGAAAAAGGTGTTTTTTTTTATCAAAGTTTATTTGAAATGAAAATATTTTATAACAGTGTAAAAGTCTTTATTGTCCCTTTTGATGCATCCTTGCTTAATAAAAGCATGATATTTAAAAAAATTCTAACGGACCTTAAACTTTTGAACGATTGTGATTGTGCTTATTAGTTCAGTGTTGTCTTTCTTTCAGGCTGCAGTTCCAGGAGAAGACGGTGAGTAAAACAGTAATATTTTGAAAGAATTGTTAACGGTTTAAAATAATTTTAGTATACATTAAAATTGTATTTATTCATGCTATGGAAAAGATGAATTTTCTGCAGCCATTACTCAAATCTTCAGTGTCACATGATCCTTCAGAAATGATTCTGATATACTGATTTGGTGCCCAAGAAACATTTACTATTACAATGTTGAAAAAAAGTTGTCCTGCTTGATATTTTTGTTGTAACTGTTTAATGTTTTTGAATGTTTTTGTGTGTGATACTTGTGTGAGAAAAATCATACTGACCCAAAACTTTTGAACTGTAGTGGTGTATTTGGAAATATTTGGTTTGTGCCCAACAGAAAGCTGAGGGAGTACCATCAGCAGAGGGTTCAACTTCAGAGGTCACAGAATTACAAAAGGTAAAATTCCAACCTTTCTCTTCAATATATTTCATACAAAATACTAATATTATAGACAAAACACTTGAAAATAAAAAAATTTATGTTTGATTGCAGGAGGTTGAGTTGCTGAAAGCACAGCTGCAGAGCCAGACCGCAGAGATCACACAACTACAGAGTGAAAGACAGGAGCTACTCAGAGGATCTGAGACCACAGTAAGCGTGTTCCAATAATTGTACAGACAGTACACTCCACCACACTGCAGTCTCAGCTTCAGATAGCATTCCAACAGACCACCTATATTTCAATCTCAAAATCGTAAAATCCAGTCTAAAGGAGTCATCATGGGCAGGCTTTTTTTCAAATCGCTTCCCAAATTATGAAAATTTATTTTCTAAATAATAATTAACAAAATAAAATTGGCAACTGTGAGAGCAGTGCAGCACCCAGACAGTTTAAAGAGGGGACACCTCAGGCCATGAGCAGCAGTCGGGTACATAGGGATGTGCGATATGAATCATCTACAAACATATCATAAATGTGTCACTCACTTTGCAAAAAAACAAGCCTTGAGAGGGCATGGTTTCACTGCGTGGATTAGCCTGTTAGAATGCCAGTGAAAATAGTTTCAAACAAAGCCACAGCATAAACATTGTGCATCTCTGAGCAACACACAGTAGTGTTTTGTTATTGAATGAGTCTGTGTTTTTAATGAATCATTTGAGTGAGTTATTCAATTATCCATTCATAAAGACAGTGATTTGCTTCATTTCTGAATGAATCATATGCTTTGAACAGATTTGTTTGAATTATTCAATGATTCATTTACTCATTAAGACAAGAACTTACCACCATCTACTAATTGTTTTGGTTTCATATTTAAAGTTTTATTAAAATATTACTTTAAGTAACTCCTGAAATTTCAAGCAAGTATGATACTAAATTGAAATTTGATTCAAAATGGGGAAACAAATCTCACAGTGAGTCCACCAGAAAAACTAAATTGTAATCCTACAATACACAAACATTTTCAAATTGCACTAAATTTTGTGTTTTAAGGTACTTTTAAAATATAATTTATTTCTGTGATGGCATATCTAAATTTTAGCATCGTTACTCCAGTCTTCAGTGTCACATGATCCTTCAGAAATCATTCTAATAAGCTTGATTTGATGCTCAAGAAACATTTCTTATTAGTAATATTAAAAACAGATTTGTTTTCAGGATTATCATAGATTTGGTGAAAAAGGTGTTTTTTTTTATCAAAGTTTATTTGAAATGAAAATATTTTATAACAGTGTAAAAGTCTTTATTGTCCCTTTTGATGCATCCTTGCTTAATAAAAGCATGATATTTAAAAAAATTCTAACGGACCTTAAACTTTTGAACGATTGTGATTGTGCTTATTAGTTCAGTGTTGTCTTTCTTTCAGGCTGCAGTTCCAGGAGAAGACGGTGTCTACACAGAAAAGATTGCAGAGTTAGAGAGCAGGCTCTCTGCTCAGACAGCTGAGACACAAAAGCTCAAGGTGACTTGCCCTTGAGGAATGGCCGCCTTCCTTTTTTTCATCATTCACTCGTTTACTTATTTTATGTGCTTTTACATTTAACATCATTTCCCATTTAACACTTGCTCTTTTTTTTCTGTCCTTCCCTGTCTTTCAGGGGGAAGTTAAAACTCTTCTGGAGAGTAAGGAATTGATGGAGAAAGAGCTTGCTTCAGCCACGAGCACAGCTGCCATCATGCTGTCAGAGAAGAGCAAGTTGCAGCAGGAGGTGCAGGAGTCCAAGAAGGAGCAGGACGATCTTCTCATGCTACTCGCTGACCAGGACCAGAAGATTCTGAGCCTGAAACAGAGACTCAAGGACTTGGGAGAGACGGTACATTCCTCACAACAATGCAGAACACAGTTTCACTGGCTTTGTATTCACCAAATGTCTTTTTGTCTTCTTGCATTTCTTATTATTCTTCTTCTTATTCTTATTGACTTTTTCCCCACAGATTGAAGATGAGGATGATTTGGATTCAAGGGACCAGTTTGATGATGATGACGAAGAAGAGGAAGAAGAAGAGTGTGATGAATAAAAAAAGTATTGATTTAATAGTGGTAGTGAAAGACTGCTATTAACCTGTCACTTACACGCTTAGAGAAAGAGATTGTAAGCCTTGGACCGTAGAGCTAATCTTCTGATTTTTAGAAGAATCACCTATTTCTTTACTTTCTTCATAACTGCATTTTAATTTTTAGAATTTATTTTGCAGTGGACAAAACAATCCAACTAATTGAACCAGACCCATTTCATTTTAAAGAAGCTTTGAATTTATTCAGATAATAAATACAGATGGATACTTTCTTTTTGATCAACATTCCCAGTGCTTATGTCCTGGTAACGTACTGTAGAGGATTCTGGAGAGCTATTTGACCTAATGATGGAAAGGAGAAAATAAAAAGATTTGCGTCTTTGTTATACATAGTGCAAAGCCACAGAGAAAGTTCAGTCTGCATTTCTTTACAGTTTGACAACTTGTAAGTGTCTTGATGATGGATGGATGTATTCTGTAAGACCTGCCTTCTCTGCTCAGGTGCATAGTGAACTCTGTTTAACATCTCATTCAAATTTGGTCCTTTTCCTGTTTTGCTTTAGATTGCTGCCTGGTCAAATGGCTGTTGTTGTTGTTGTTTTTTCTTTCATCTGTTCCTCCATGTCTGCAGTTTTCAGAATTGTTCATCCATACATTCATATCTACAAATGATCAAACAGACTCTTGCATCTTGCAAAACCCACTTTGCATAACATTGTGTTAATACTATCCATGTGTTATTCAGTATAACACTTCTGAAGTCCCACTAAATGTTGGGATGCTACACTTTCAGGTTCCTAAAAAACTGGAGAGGTATTTTGCGAAATTTGATTCAAGCTTTGGTTAATTTATGGATAAACAAGCCTCCTTAGAATAAACTATATAAATACTTGTCTGTGATGTTTTGGTTTTAAACTAAAGTTTTTAATTTGTGTCTTTGATGGGTGTTTTGTTCAATATACAGCTGTATTTGAGGATTGACTGAGAACTTTTCCACTGCTAATACCCACAAATATAATTTTGCCATGAACTGCATTCATGGTCATGTTTGATAATGAATTATACAACCATTATTTAGGAATTGTAAAGGAAGGCATATAATGAAGTTCATAGAGCATGTTTTGCAGCTTTACAGACAACAATGCCATAATTAGAAAAGTGTGCACTGGAAAAAAAAAAACTGCTACTATATAATTATATGTTTGCTATTTGTACACTACAATTTGTTCTTCTGTTCAAGGTAGCATTAAAATAAAAAGTCCAAGCTCCAGTATTATAAAAATGTTATTATTTGAAATATTTATTTTTATAAAAATTGATAGTCTATTTTTATATTTATATTTTAAAACATTTACCTGTGATGGAAAGCCCTGTCTTCGGTAACCAGGGCACAGAGACAACTATATCAGAGACTATATATAGTATATCAGAGACTCCTTGCTAAAATTCTTGGGCCTGTGACAGTTTTATGGGTGGCCCCCTTTCCCAAATGAATACGCTGTATTATAGAGACCCTTGGTGGTTCTGTCATTTAAAGAACAGCATTTATTTGAAATAGAAATATTAAGCTATAGAATAAGAATATACATCTTTGAACATGTATATGTTCAATGCAGAAAGATTGAAACAAACTGGTGTATTTCTGACATTTACCAGCAGGGGCTACCGGGACCATTCTGACCAGCCAAATCCTCAGGTTAAACTGTGATGTGATGAATCAATAAAAGAACACTGACTACCCCATCATTATCATACTGTTGAAAGAAACGCATAAATAAAAATACGTTAAAAAAATTATACAGTATTACAAAAATTAATAAGATATTCAAATATTAAAACTCTAATTCAGGCATGATCTTAGTTGCAGATGTAACTTGTAAATAAAATAAAATAAATGACCGAACGGATTTATTATTTATTGTGTATTTATACTTAGGCTGCACATTTATTTATTTGCATGTTTTGCATTCATATTTGCCCCTCTGATTGTTTACTGTGGGATGGGGGGATGGGGCAGTGTTCTCAAACACAGGTTATGGGTTATATCATCTCTCATCATCGCCCCACCCTTTACTCCACCGCAGCGTCGCCTCACTCATAGACATCGAAACAACGGGACGGATGGTGAACGGAATACACGGAATGAACATGGGCGTGTCTTATAGTGCGTCCAAGTACTTTCTAATTGGACAGGTCTAATTAGCACAAAAACGTAATGTTTGTTTTAACGCTTAACCATATCCTTAAACTAAACGAGTATTAATGTTTGTCGGGAATGTTCTTAATCGTGCGAAATAATTGTCCAGACAAATGCTGGTGTAAAACGCACACCGCGGTGTCACGTGGTATATGTTACTTTTCCCTTCGCTGTAAAACCTTGGACCAATCATAGTAGCTTTGTGATTACTGACTAAGACTTTTATTTAATTATTTTATAGAGATTGTTTTGCGATATTTCTATTTGTTTCCCGGATAACAGTTCTCTGAATTAATACATTTAAACGATTACACATTATAGTGTATAAATGCATCGAATTAAACGAGCTGTGTTCTGGGATTTGAATGAAACTCAATGGTGCGCTTGTCTTTCTGAGCGCCCAAGCGCCCCTTTAGGAGGACAAGTTTGTGTCCCATAATGAACACTAAACAGATGCCAGCTGATGCTCACACCTCACCTCAAACACTGCGGCATCATCCTATAATCTCTGTCTCTCTCTCTCTCTCTCTGTCTCTTTCTCTCTCTCTCTGACACATTTCTGCGAGTGAGTGTTTAAAAAGGCGCGGATCTAGTAGCCGTGGGTTATTCTCAGTTCTCCTCATACTGCATGACCATCACAAAGGTAAGAAAACCCATAATTATATATACACTTAGCTGTAGTTTTCCAGACTGTGTTCCAAACTGTGTTTTTTATGTCATTTTTTATTATTATTATTATTATTAGAGGCTATTTTATTGACGGTTGATAGAGCGAGTTTAGGAGACCTTAGAACATCATTTGATAAATTGCCAAAAAAGTGTAGAGTTGATCATTCTACCAGTTCATTGTAGAAGGCTTTCTTTTATAGGCTAATTCAGATTGTTTTCTTGTAACCTATCTCATCTTATGTGGTCTACTGTGTTCATTTTGGTAACACAGCATTAAGGTCCCATTAGTTTTAATGCAGTGACATAACTAACAATGAGCAATACATTTGTTACATCATGAGTTTGATTAGTTAATTAAAATTAATAAAAGCTTTAGAGATAGGCCTATTTTTACTGTTAGTACATGTTAACTTATAGGCTAGTTATCTAATGTCAACACATGAAAACTTATTATAAAATGATATTTGTTTTATTGTGTTTATTTACTTTTTCATTATCCCTTCTAGAGCTGAACTGACACTTACATGTGATGTATTTCTGTAGCGCAAATGCTTTCACTGCACACCTTTAAAATGAAGGATAAACATTTTTTTTATTTATTGACAGATATATTATCACATTCATTAAAGAGATAGCCCTTGAAAAATGAAAATGCAGTCGTCGTGTTCATTTTTGGATGAACTATCCAGTTAAGTGTCCATTTTCCATTTGTGACTATTACAACCACAGTTTTGATAATCTGAATACAATTTATTATTTTTATCAGACAAGTAACCTGGACATGAATTCTAATTTTAGGCTTACTCTTTGAAAATACTAAATCAAATAATCATTATCATAATCAGTTATCATAAAACACATGTCTGTCAGACCACTAATGTTTAGTTGAATTGTCTTGAATACTTTCATTCTTTAATATTAAATGGAGGAAATGGCCTGGCTGTATTGCTGAGTGAGACAGACCGACACTCAGGGGAGGCCAGGTAAAGAAAGACAGTTCAGAAGGGTTGCTAGGTGTCAAAGTCCTGAGGGTGAAACATGTCAAAGAGAGGTGTGGTCGTGTTCAGACACGTCCATGAGCCATGAGTGCTGCTATAGTCTGGGTCTTTACCTGGACACATATGACTCTAGCTCCTCTGTCCAGTATTGTTTTCTGTACATTTGCAACCGTTCAGTGATAATTCTCAGCATAGGCTGAGTGAGGAGTTTGATTTGTTGGTTGATTTCAGGTCAGGTGAGAATACTGTAGCAAAATATTTTTTATGAGCATCTGTACAGGGTGAAAAGAACAATGCCAATTAGTATGCTTAACCCTCTTTCTTACTCGGAAAAGGTTTGGTTGAAGCTGCATTGATGAACAATACACAATTGTATATAATCCATTTGCTAGCACTGTCGTCACACAAGTAGCTTTAGATAAAAGTGCCAGTAATTCACCTTGGTGAGTGTTTCGAATTGTATTTATTTATTATTATTATTATTATTATTATTCGTTTAGCAAATACATGAACTAATATGTTCATGTATTTTAATCACATGTCCAGAGCCGCTGAAGATGTAGCACATTTGGTGTTTATGGCCCCATCAGCATTCTTTGCTTCTTTGTTTTGCATTCTATATTTTTATTAAATACAACTGTGCGCTGTTTAAAATGAATCCCACTCTTGGTGTGAACAGATCATTTGTTCATTATTTGTTCCATTTTGTATTTGGTTGTAAATAACTGTAGAAGTTTCTACTCAAATAAGAAGTTACATCAATATCTTGATATTCAAAGATCTTGGAATTTTTTTACTTTTCACTTCTAGCTTTTTACCTTCAGTTGATGACCTTAGTGAAAGGTCATAGATGAGTTAAGGCGGTCAATTAATGGACTAGCAGGTTATTGTTGAACAGTCAGTTAAGGAGGTTAAACAATACACTATCAGTTTTTTCTATGATTTAGAAAAAAAGTTCACCAAGACTACATTTGTTTGATCAAAAATAAAGTAAAAACAGTAATATTGTGAAATATTCTTACAAATTAAAATGACTTTTTTTTCTGATCATTCAGAAATCATTCTAATATGCTGGTTCGGTATTGTACATAAAAAAACAAACTCAACTCTAATTGATGACATTAGCTCGGTCTTGACCTGACAGGGAATCAATTCACAGAGACTGTCTTTCATTTTGTCTTGCTTTTGGTGAAGTTAGACATTTGTGGATGGAAATGCACACCCATATATTGATTCAATGTTTTTTTTTAGAATGGCAGTCCATCACTCAGTTGTTGAGCTGTTGGGCAAAGAAACAAGTCTGCATATTCTCATCAATAATGTTAGGTTCTCTTGACATAATCGTAATACGTAATGCTATTTTCCTTGTCCAAATTTAATTTGATCATTCAATAAATAACAATTTCTCATTCTTCTAAAAAGATAATGTCGGAACATGTACATAATTCTTGTTGAGCAAATAATAAATTAGCAATGCCAGAAATCTTCTTATAAGCCTTCTTATAAATATTTCATTCTTATACACAGTTAATTTGAACTGTGATCTTGACCTCTGAAGAATGGTACTATGTGTGCAGTAATAAAATATAGGTCCTCAACAATTAGCACAGAAACCTCAATAACAATCAACAAACATCATAAAAAAGAGCTTGTAACCCATACAAAACAAATAACTTACAATGGTGACAAAAACATAAATCAACATAAATCAAGTCAGGAAACATCAAAACAATCCTGACCACCTCATTTATTCATGCTGCAGCTTACAAACCCTTAACAAATAAGCAACATATGAAACAACTCTTATATACATACATGCTGTTTCATAGTGTGTGTGTGTGTGTGTGTGTGTGTGTGTGTAGAGAGAGAGAGATCCATCCGTCACCAGTTTGTTTTATTTTTAGCTTCACATTAAAGTTACTGTACCCACTCTAAAACCCATCAAGGAGCCTTTCCCAGCATCCTCTCTTCTTAAGTGGGTTATTGAATGGCATGGAATCTTCCTGACTTCACATCCCTCTGTAATGCTCAAGTCATTATACAGTTTGTGTGTGCAGCACATCCCTGCTTTGTATTAGTCAATAAACATATTGATTTAGTTTCAGGTTTCATAAACTCTTCTGAATGTCGTATAGTGTTTAGATGAGCAGATGGCTGTATTGTTTACAATATAGGATATATAGTTTCCCTCATTTAGGCAGGTGAACAAATCATTAATAGACATTCATGATTTATATCAACAAATTTTATGTGGATCTATTATATAATATACAGTGCCATAATATTATAATACACACTAATACATCACATAAGTTCCCCTTTCATCATCTGTTTGGAGGAGAAATTACAATTTTGTTATGTTGGTAATGTTAACATATATTTAAGAAACAGCAGTTGTTG